GCGCTTCTTGTCAACCAACCCCCGAATCCCAATCCCAATCCAAATCCACATCCAATTCCTCTGAATCTGAAAACAAAAAAAAAATCGATTCTTCATTCCTTGTTGTGCTTGGCAGCGGCCGGAGACGGGGGAGCGGCCGCCGACGGGGCGGCGGCGGCGGCGGAGCACAAGTCGGTGGAGATCATGCGCAAGTTCTCGGAGCAGTACGCCCGCCGCTCCAGCACCTTCTTCTGCTCCGACAAGTCCGTCACCGCCGTCGTCATCAAGGTCCCGACCCCCCTTCCTCCTTCCTCCTACAGTAGATGTTACTCTAGTTAGAGCCTCGTTTGAATTCACCCGCACCGTCGCACTCACACCATAGACGCCGGTAGCTATTCCACCAAACCAATCAAGCAGTGTGTTCATGGCCATGGATGCTAATTAAGGTCAAACAGTGCGTTCATGGCGGTGGTACAGATGAAAAGACTTCATTTATATAACTGCACTGCTGCTGCTCTACTGATGTGATGTGATGTTCCTCCTTGATGATTCATTGCTCTGAATTAAGCTCAAACAGCCTTCATGTTCATGGCGCTACTGTAAACCAAACAAGGGTCACCTACCGGCCACGCCGATCATGTGTCCCTCCCTCTCCTTTGATGATTAATTGATCGATTGTTAACCAGAGGAAAACCCTTTTCGCAGGGGCTTGCTGACCACAAGGATCAACTCGGAGCTCCTCTCTGCCCCTGCAGGTAGTATTTAATCATCTCATGAGTCTTTTTAGAAAGTGTCGTCCATTTTGTTTCTGACAGACATGCGTTACTTGTATGCCTGCCTGAACCTGTCCCTTTGAATTTTTTTTCTTTTTCAAACCAGGCATTACGACGACAAGGCCGCCGAGGCCGCGCAAGGGTTCTGGAACTGCCCGTGCGTCCCCATGCGAGAGAGGTGAGGCCTCCCGTTTCTAACATCTCCGCCTTCTGCCATCACTTATTCTTACGCTAGCGTGCATAACAAGGATGGGGATGGGATGCCCTTTTTCTCGTCATGTTTAAATGCCAGAGATGTACCGGAGGGCTCGGTTTCAACCCCTCTTTGGCTTCTTATCATTGTCCGACATATGTTCCTTTCTGTTGCGTATATCCATTTCACATCATTAACTGTGATTTGCTGCCGGAGCACAAGTTACCCAGATGCGTATGTCCTGTGATGTTGGCATGTATTGTTGATAAATACTAGCATTACTTATGTATGGTAAACAACCGTGGCACGCAATCCGTGCCGGCTTTCAACTGGAAAGGGATTTACTAGAAATGAAAGCTCGGTTAGAATCATCTGTTCTTGACCCACTTGTGCGCAGCAGTAAACAAGCACCGTGGAATGTAAGGGGTGTCAAGTGAAAGCTCGGTCAGAATAATTGGCTCCCTCACCCACTCATGTTATTATAGTAAACAGCCATGAAACATAGTTTAGTTCCTGCTGGTATGTGACCTGGAAAGTATAAAAAGGGGAAACTTGGTCATAGCAATCCGTTTCTTCAACTTTGTCATCTGCCTTGTGCAGGAAGGAGTGCCACTGCATGCTTTTCCTTACGCCCGACAACGATTTTGCCGGAGAGGACCAGGCACGTCTCCATTCTCTTTCCGTGCTGTCGGTACCACAGCTTCAGATACTGCCTAGCTCCGTATCGTCATCTCTTTCTAACACGCAGGCGCATACTTTTTGCAGGCCATCAGCTTGGAGGAGATCAAGGAGGCGACGTCCAAGTACTAACCACACAACACCTGTTTTGCTCGAGAGGGGGCTATAGTCAGTCAGTCGGTCGTCGTTGTCGGGACCTGTGTATGTAGTATCTCTGTAACAGCAGGAAATAAGAAATGTCTGTCTGGAATGATATCTGTTGTCATCCATCCGTCTTGAGAGAAATTAAGGCCTGATGGTCGTGTTCCCGACTCGTCAATGTTGCGATTTATTGCGTGTTTGGGCTGGCGTAAAGCGTACTCCAATGAGAAGGGAGGGGAGGATGTTGTGTGAGACGTCGTCTCTGTTGCTGCTTCCTTTTTCTTCCTGAATGAATGAATGATGTGTGGGAGGGAAGCAACAGCGACGCGCCATTGCCCGTGTCCGTGGCACCCAACAAGTTGCATCTCTTCGATGTTATCATTATTATGTCTCTTTGTTATGCATCTATCTATGTGTTGCTTTTGCAACCACGCTGTTATATATATGCACGCGATTCGCTCCACGTGATGTCGACGACGATGACCGAGCGTTTGAGCGAAACCGAAAAACCAGGCTCATTTCCAGGTAACCCATCAGCAGCTGTTACCATTTGGTACACAAGAATTGTGTCTTTTTTGTTATGCATCTATGTTTGTGTTGCTTTTAACCGATCAACAACAAAAGAAGAAGAAGAAGAAGAAGAAGAAGCTGTTGTCACCTTGTAATCAGTTTTTGAGAAGCTGGACAGGAGAATTCTCAACGGGGATTAAATTAGGTTCGACGTGGTTGCAGTTAGGCTAGATAGATAGGTAGCAGAAGTCCATCACTCACTGTCCCAACCAATCTCACTCACTGACTTAAGTGTGTGTGTGTGTGTAGCTTGTGCTTCATCCTTTTTCTCTCTTTCCCACGGCTCCATCCATTATCATTCGTCACTGTCCGGGTTTTATTGCTGCAGCAGTACACACACATTACAAATAATTGTTACCTTGTTGTTGCAAATATGATGCATCCTGCTGTGGCCTCTTGTTAATCATCCATCCATTCCTTCCCTTTCCTGGGGTGCTTCTTTGCCATGGCCCCTCAGCAGGTAAGCTTCTCTCCTATCTTCTTCATGCATTTTCATTCAACAACATGCATGTCTTGAAGATGACGGTTCCCTGTGCAGGAGAGCAACAAGGACGGCGGCGCTGCCACCACGCCGACGATGGAGGAAGAAGAGGAGGACGATGAGGAGCATCATCGTCATGGCGAACGGCCGCTGCTCTCGGCGTGTGAGCAGGAGCAGGAGCAGCAGCAGGATGCCGACAAGCCATTGCCATTGCCGGCGAAGAGGAGGAGGAGCAGCAGCAGCCTGAGCAGATCATCAAGATCAGGCGAGCAGGGGTGGCAGGAGGAGGCGGCCGGGCCCGGCGCCGCCCGGTCGCTGTCCTTCTCCAGGCTCTTCAACAGCTTCAGGATGGTCACCACCTCCTCCTCTACCTTGGACATTGACGAGCTAGCTGCTGCTGAAGACGGCTGTGCAGTAAGTTGCAGTTCATCATCCATTCAGTTGATATAAAGATATGCCATGCTTGAATGATAACTGAGCTGATCATTGTGGTTTTGTTCTTGATGATGACGAAGGAGCAACGGCAATGGCCATCGCAGTCCAAGCGGCAACATCCGAAGCCACCGGTGTGCCGGACGCAGTCGATGCCGATGACGAGCATCTCCAGGAGGCTCCCCGCTCATGGCGGCAAGAAGCGGGTGGCGGACTCGAGCTCCTTGCGCCGGTTCCGGGTGTCGTCGGTGCAATTGCCATTGCCGGAGTCGGCGCCGCCACCCTCTTCGCCATCGCCGTCGGAAGAAGGAGAGGAAGAGGAGGTGGGGGAGGAGGAGGCGGTGTGCCGGATCTGCATGGTGGCGCTTCTGGAGGAGGAAGAAGAAGGAGCAGGCGACGGCGTGCTGAAGCTGGAGTGCCGGTGCAAGGGCGAGCTGGCGCTGGCTCACCGCCGCTGCGCCCTCAAGTGGTTCGGCATCAAGGGCGACCCCAACTGCGACGTCTGCGGCCACGACGTCCTCAACCTCCCCGTCACCCTCCGCCGCGTCGCCGCCCCTCCCCCACCACCACCTCCTCCCCTCACCGCCGGCAATGGCAATGGCAGCACCAGCCAAGAGGAAGAACAAGAAGCAAGAGAGAGAAGAGGGTTGAGGGGCGTGTGGCGGCATGGCACGGTGATCCTGGTGACGGTGAGCATGCTGGCCTACTTCTGCTTCCTGGAGCAGCTGCTGGTGGGCGACCACGGCAACGCGGCCGCCGCCCTCGCCGTCTCGGCGCCCTTCGCCGTCGTGCTCGGCACCTTCTCGGCGCTCACCACCGCCGGGATGGCCTCGTCGAGAAGGTACGTGTGGGCATACTCGGCGCTGCAGTTCCTGCTGGTCGTCCTCTTCACCCACCTCTTCTACCGCTACGTCAGGCTCCAGGCCGTCATCGCCATCATCCTCTCCGCCTTCGCCGGCTTCGGCGTCGCCATCTGCGCCAACGCCGTGCTCCTCCAGGCCGCCCGCTGGAGGGCCGCCGCCCGCCGCCCCCCGCCGCCGCCGTCGGACCCGGATCACCTCCATCAGACCCCTCAGCCATAGACAACATACATATACATATGTATACTCTGCTGTGCTCTACTTTATTGCTGTATATATAGTTACCAGTTCGCCAACCTTCTCCCAGATTTTGTGTATGAATGCATATAGAGTTTGAAAATACGAAGACAAGAAGATGTATGTAGTACTAAGAATTAGTGGATGGCGGCAGTTAATATTTTATTGGATTCTACAGCAGTTAATATTTGTGTTGTCAGCATACACTTGCAGCAGCCAAGGTTGGTTGATACCTAGCTTAGCCATTCCTTCCCCACCTCCTGATTTCGACATCATCGGCGCCTCCTCGTACTTGTTGTCAATGGCGTAAGTAATCCCCTACAACTCGTCCTTCGGGTTCGAGCCGGAGCTCTTCTCGCTGTCGGTGGTCGAGCCTGGGCCCTCGGCGCTGTCGGTCCGTGCCGCTGACGAGTCCGGGCGCTTGAGCTTGAAAGGGATGGCGGCATGCTTCTTGAGGAACTTGTACATCTCTACCACTGTCCGGTCCCCCTCGAAAGTTATCTGCAAGAGTTTATTTAGCCAAATGAAAGCAAAGGAACAGAATTAGTGGATGCCAATTTCAGCACCTGTGAGCTTAGCTACTTCTACAATGGCATATAAACATGAAATCCTTTCAGCAAGGTGAAGATACCAAATACGGTCAACTTCTCCTCCTCTTTCTTCAGCAGGACTACTGACGGGCGCTTTGCCTCCGGGTCGATGTGGAAAAGCTTGGCCAGATCAGGGCTGGTAGTCTGATAGAAGCTGACGGTATCTTCCAGCCTTGAGGCAGCAGCAAGCTCATTGCTGTGCACACCCTACAGCATTTGTGTTGTCAGAGTAATTAAGATTCATCGCCATACTGTATTTATGCAGTGTCCAATAAGCTATAAACATTAAAGCATACAAGCACATCTAAGATTTGTTCTGAGCACATGGAAACAGAGTATGCAGGTTGACATTTTATCTAGTAGAAGTGAGCAAGCAAAAGAATCAGGGCAATGGGAAAAATAGGTGCATTGTAATTTGGGGTAATATGGCCACATGGGCGGTTTGGCTGCAATTCAAGCTCATCTAGCATTTGAGGCAGAAGCACCCTATATCATTTGATGACAGAGTAATTCATGATTTATGAGCATGTTATATGTAAGGTCCAATAAGGTAAACATAGGAGCACATCTCAGATTTGTAGTCGGCACATGGAAACAGAATACGCAGGCTCACATTTTATCTGCCAGTAGCGTGCAAGTGCAAGCAAAAGAATGAGAAGAAGTAGGTGCATTGTAGTTTGGGGTCAATTTGGGGTAACATGGCTACATGTTCTTGGTTTGGCTGCAATTCAAGCATTGTATTCTTGGGTCAATCTGGGTCACATGGGTTGCAATTCAACCAATTTTTGGGTAACATGGTTTGCAATTGAACCAATTTTGGGGTTTGGTTGACTTTGCTGCCACTGGAAAAGGTGCATTCATTGCGTACCGAGAGGTGGTCGAGGTAGGCGAGCACGGCCACGTCGTCGCCGGTGACGACCTTCTCCGCCTCGTCGACGGTGGTGAGGTTCTGCACCGCAGGGCCCAGCTTCTTGCCGATCCAAGCGACAATGGCGTCCCTGCAGCAAAGCAAACGAAGGAGAGGAACCACACATCAGCTGGAGCAGGCAATTGGGGATCTGGGAGGCGGTTGACTGCTCACTTGGTCCTCTCGCCGGCGTAGTCCCTGGGCACGCCGTCGATGAAGAAGAGGAGGGTGGGGTAGCCCTGCACGCCGTGCGCCTGCGCCAGCTCGTGCTCCTCCGTGGCGTCCACCTTGGCCAGCGCCACGTCGACGCCCTGCTCGGCGAGGTGCGTCGCGGCGGCGGCGTAGTGGGGCGCCAGCGCGCGGCAGTGGCCGCACCAGGGCGCGTAGAACTCGACCATCACGTGGCGCCGGGCGGCGAGGACGGCGGTGAAGTTGGCGGCGGTGAGGAGGAGCACGTGGGCCTCGTCGGCCGCCGAGGGGTGGGAGTGGGAGGACTCCTCGGGCCCGTCGTCGTCGCCGAAGAGGTCCTCCTCGTCGTAGTCGGCGTCGAGGCCGGGGAAGTCCGTTGCGCCGTCCTCGGGGTCGTCGTCGGGGGTGGACGGAGCGTCGTCGTCGAGGCCGGCGTTCTTGATGAGGTACTCGAGGTCGATGTCCGGGTTGGAGGTGGGGGCTGCGGCGGAGGCGGCGAGGGGGAGGAGGAGGAAGGGGGTGGCGAGGAGAAGGAGCAGCAGGAGAGACCGGGGCGTCGGCATCGGCATCGCCGCCATGGCCGGCGGGCGAGGAGCGTGGCTGCGTGGGAGAGCGTGTGGGGAAGTGGGAGTGGGATCCGCCGGCTGGACTTGCCAAGACTCCATTTTTTTCAAGAGAGAGTCCAACACATACATGAGGACCGCGTGAACAACTCCTTGTGCTGGGCCAGGCCCAAGCAATGCCAAGATGATTAAAGATGGGCGGCGGCGGTACCCGTGGGTGTCGTATCCCTCTTGGGGGCGTCGCTGAGATCCATCTCTGTGGGCCGCCCAGGGCTCTGGGTGAAACCCCCTACCATTTCTCCGGTCTCGGCGGCGGCGACACGTCGTTGTCGTTTCTCTTCTAGGAGCATCGTCGTGGAGCCCATGTTGGCTTCGATGTGCCTAGGGCTGCAAACGACTCGAGTTCGAGCGAGTTGGACTAGCCTCAGGTCAGATTATACTAAAATTCGAGCGAGCTCAAACTGAGTGATGCTCAAGGTCGAGCCGTAGAAAAGTGGCTCGTGCTTAGCTTGTATCGATCTCGAGCTAGTTTCGAGCTAAATAATAAAACGATTTTATGAATGATGCAATTTTTCAAACATTATAGCCAACAACCCAACATAGAAAAACACTATAAAATTTGACTTATTCTCTCTCAATTAAAGACTAGCACTTGATAATTAGGGATCAATGAGCTAGAAAGATAAAAAAAATGAAGATGCGTCTGCTCTTAAAATTTGCATGTGAATAATAGGATATTTGACACAAGACTGACCACGCACCATATTGAGGCTAAATTTCTCATGCTTAGTAGGCCTCCATGTTTCCTACCAGGTAAAATTGAGAAAAATTGGACACTGCAAATTTGGCAATAATTATCCTGTTTTCTTTAAATATACATCAATATTATTTTATATAATTATATGACATCGAGCTATCGAGCTACAATCGAGCGAGCCAGTGTTGGCTCAAGATTAACTCACTTTTTTTTACCACACGGCAAGCGTGGTAAAAGCAATCTCAAATTGACAAAAAAAAGATTAACTCATTTTTCTATCGAGCAACATAAAGTGTTCATACTCAGCTCATTTCTTTTCGAGTCGATCTCGAGTGGCTCACGAGCCTTGAGCTTTTCTTGCAACCCTAGATGTACCGCGCCGCCATCAACGGACATTTTCAGACCCTAGCTTCAAGCTTCTTCAGCGCTGACGTGGAACGGTTGCACTTACCTCCTTATCTTCTACACGGGTCCTCATTGGCACCCTCCCATTCCTCGATGTCCGTGGACAGGCTCGGGCTTCATGATCCAGAGTGGAAGGGCAGGGCCCCTCTCCAGCGACAACTTCATTGTGAGTGTTTGCAAAACTAGGCCCGGTGCTTTCCCTTGGAGGCGTTGTTCCGTCTCTTGTCAGTAGTCTAGGTTACTTTGTGGTAGAATGTGGATTCTCGTGTTCTATTTTTTTTTGTTTGACCTGCTTTATAAAAGGATCTTCTCGTCTCCTGTATCGGCGGCTTTATATATAAAGTTGGGTAGAAGCCTTTTTCCATAAATTTTATTGCTCACCCTTGACTACTATAGGGATGTTATTCCAATGCTAAGTACAAATCATGTGCATATCGTCAACATATTATTGGACCCAGCTTTCAAAATAAATTTGCTAAAAGTTCAATGTATACTTGATTCTAGAAGCCTCAGTATTTGTGTTATGAAATAGTACACTAGAATCACAACTATGATAACAAATAAATTGTACGCTTAGATCTCTACCATGCTATTGTGAAATATCCATGAACACATACATAGTCAAATATATACTCCCTCTGTCCCAAAATAAGTGACTCGAGTTTGTACTAAAGTTAGTACAAAATATATACTCCCTCCATTCTTTGAAGGCTGCTCCATAGTGTTTTTTTTTTGCGCAGGCGGGTGCCTTAACCGTAGCTCGGCCACTGCATGAGACACAGTTCTACAAGTGAACATCGACAGCAATAGTGCATGCAATGACTTTGTATCTTCTGTCTTTTTTATACTATATACTAAAAAGTCCAAATATATACATCACGAGGAGATTGCACTTAAAAAATAGAATAATCAAAAAGGCTGTTTTTCTCTCGTGGAAAGATTGATTCCAGTATGCGAGCATTCTCTTGGTACTCATTCCTTCATGCAGATGCAGTGGCGTAATCGGGGGTGTGCCAGGTGTGCCATGGCACACCCAGGTTTTTGGAAAACATGTTTTCACTATGAAAAAAGTAGCTTATTTTAAGGATATGCAAGCTAATTTAAATAGACTTCAACTTTTTAAAAGTGTGCGCACCCTTCATTTTATTTCTAGGTCCGCCACTGTGCAGATGAGAAGCCGATCTTCTCTCGGTGCCCTGTCGACTGAAAATTATACATGTACAAGGATGACGTGAAGGTTGAATTCACATCACTCATGCATTGTGATTGCCTTAGTCCTCTGCCAAGATATAGCGCTTCATTCTTGCCTTACAAAGCTTTTTTGAACCCCTTTCTTAGGTTGCACGACTCAGTCATTGTCATATTGTGTAGACGGGTTCATCCAACATGAAAGAAAAGGAAAAAAATTCACCTATTAAGAATCAAGCATTGAATAAGCTTGCACTGCCGGTGAGCGTGCGACATCATTCAAGCACTCTACAGAGCTACATTGACCCGGCAGAATTGCACCCAATCTCTTGAAGAAATATCTTATTGGTTATAAAGACGAATGTTCAAAGATAGAAGTACTCAGGTTTTTGGCACTGGTCATAAAATCATAATATCCCCCATTTTTACTCATGAAAACCATGCTTGTATCCCTCCTCATCAACTTGTTACGTTGTAACGGTATTCCGATTAGATAATAATAACACAATTTGGAGCTAGCTAGTACGTCCTATATGGATCCCTACGTATCGAGGGCTAGCAATTAGCAACAATATTATTTATGGTTTTCATTCTAACTAAAGATTAATCTATTCCTGACTAAATTTATTTGTTGTATGTTCAGTCTACCAGGGCAATATTTTACACAACCTAATCACCTTCTTTACTTTGCATTGGGTAGATTCTATAAATCTAGATAACTGTTTACGAGGTTCATTTACAATGAGTCACGGGTTGCAAAGTTCTATTTTATGGCTCGCCCCAGTGTGCAATTCCTTGAACCGCCCCTGCCTGTAGCTCAATGGAGTACCCCTACCCTACTCTACCAACTTCATCGCTCTGCTGCTTTTTTTTTAAACGGAGGCAAAAGATTTGCCTCATCGATTAATTAAGCAGAAGAGAATTGCCCAGTTAATTTACGGAAAACTGGGCGAAAACCGATCGGTCTGCTGCTTTGGGTTTGTTGCATTGCGTTGCTTTGGGTTTTTTGTCTTCATATTTTGTTTAGTATACCTAACTCTGCCCCCGCGTCGCTCTTCCTGGGCGATATGAGCGGTGTCGCCGTTCCCCTCGCCTCCCGTCTTTCCCTCCCGCCGTCGCCGGAGGACGCTGCCGGCGAAGCTAGTGCGGCTGACGGCGGTGGCGGGTCCCTACTTATGGTTGTTTTTCCTGGGATTTCGACGTCACAACGAGATTGGATCTCGAGGACAAATCGAGTTTGATTCGATCCTCAACGTGCTCATGTGCGGGTTGCTAGGCAGTAAATCAATCAAGCTGCATGTGTGCTTGATTGATGGCTAGCTTTGCAGGCGTGCGAGTTCTCATCGACCGAGTCGGCGGATGGACGTGCCTTTCTGCGCTGTTCGCGTCCAGATCTGACGTGGCCAGACGCGGCACGACGGCGGCCGCCGTTGCTCCGGTTGCGATGGAGGTTGGCTGGATCTGGACGCACACCCAGGTGTGCCAGATTCGAACCCCGCCTCCCACGGTGGTTGTCAAGCCGGCTAGCCTGTCATGGAGGTGGGGCGCCCTGGATAGGATGCGACGGCCGTCGGTGTGGCTGCTACGCCGAGATCCAACGCCGTGCTGTCAGCTAGGCTCCATCGGCGACTGGGTAATTCCGGTAATGGCCTCGCTGTGGATTGTGGTGGCCACCGAAAGGTCTTCGTGAGGGTTTCTCACTCCAGATTCGGTGGTTGACTTCGGCGGCGAGATGCAAACTATGACGATGACTTGATGCAGAGGGGTGGTGGTGCAGCGGCGGCGGTCACACATCGCATGTAGCTGCTGGGATCGTGCAAAAGTGGTTGCGACAACACATGACTGATTTGATGGTGGTGCTTCTTGAGCACCCGGTCTCGAGCTCCGGGGCGAAAGCCTAGGTGACCTGAGTTGATTATGACTGGCAATGGCGATGGCTTTACATCGTGACCTTGTTGAAGGCATTGCTCGGATATTTTCGGACGGGTTTTTCAAGGTGAAAACCTAGATACTGACCTTGAATGGTTGGATCCGGTGACGGCGGCGATTGAGCGCAGCTCCCTTCCTGAAGGCGTTGCTGTTGAAGAACCTCGTCGTTTATGTGGTGCCATCAGATGATTGGTGTGAATATGATCATTGATGTAGTTTGCTGATTGTGGATCTAACCGCTCTATTTTTTTGCTCGCCTACATATAGCTTTGGTCTTATATGACTTTGCTATTTTGTGGCGTGGTCTTGTGTGCGTGCGTTGATGTTGATTGTGTGCATCCTACCTATGCAGAGGCCGGGTGTGCTCATTGTGTTTGGATCCTTTTGATGCTTCATTTTGAGTCAATAAAATTCACCCTTTGTCAAAAAAAAAGACAAGCATTTCCAATCCGTTCAACTCAATTAATCAATTATGTCCATACATAAATATAAAAAATGCCCCATGGCATACAACAGGACTTGCTTCCTTCTTGATCGGATTATCAAACATCAGAGGGGCGGCTTCCCGTGTGAGGGTGGTATGTGATCAATGGGATTTTGTTGGCCGAAACAAACTCGGCAATCGCAGACGCTCTGAACTCGCCATCTGCAAGACACAGGTAACATTAATTATTATCCAATTTTAAGTCAAACCCCAACTCAGTACATATAATTGGAAAGCAAAGGGGCTGGCGCTGAAAGCTAAAGCAATTTAATTAGAGAAGATACCTCAACTTGTACAACTGTTTATTGAGCAGGACTAGTGATGGGCGCTTTGCTTCTGGGTCGACATGGAAAAGCTTGACTGTAGAAGTTGACAGCCCGGTACAAACTCTTGATATCTTCCAGCCTTGAGGCAGCAGCAAGCTCATCACTGTGAGCGCCCTATATATAGCATTTGTTGATTGAGTAATCAATGATTTAAACTTGATTGAATGTATATATATGTTTGTTGATAGGCATAGTGTTGGTCTATAGGACTCTACTGTTGCCGTTTTGTCGATTTTGTTTATTTTCTTTCTGTCAAGCTTTTCTAAATTGGCCGTGTGCATCCTGATTATGCAGAGGCCGGGTGTTACTCATAATGCTTTGTATCCACTTGATACTACATTTATGAGATAATAAAAGTGCCCTTTATTGAGAAAAAAATATATGTTTGTTGGTATGTGTAATAACACATGGTTGTTATTGGTGGACTTTGCTGGGACTGGAACATACCGAGAGGGAGTCCAGGAAGGCGAGCACAGCCACGCGGCCATGGCCAGTGATGATCTTCTCGGCCTCGTCGATGGTGGTGACGTTGTGCACGTCAGGGCTCAGCCCCTGCAGCAATGGAGAAATCGCAACGATGAAGATACAGCAGCAGCCGGGCAGGCGAATGAAGAAGTATTTTCCCTGCTAGTAGTTACTTACTTGGTCCTCTCGCCATAGTAGGGGTAGTGCCTGGCCATGCCGTCGACGAAGAAGAGGACGGTGGGGTATCCGTCGACGCCGTGGGCGCGCGCGAGCTGACGGTCCTGGGTGGCGTCGACCTTGGCGAGCGTGACGTCGAGCCCCTTGTCGGCCAGGTGCGACGCGGCCGCGGCGTACACCGGGGCGAGCTTGCGGGACCAGTAGGACCAGGGCGCGTAGAAGTCGACCACGACATGGCGGCGGACGTCGAGGAAGGAGGAGAAGTTGGCTGCGGTGAGGACGACCACGTGGGCCTCGTTGACCTCCTCGGTGTACTTCCGGAGGGAGGCGTGGGATGAGGCGGAGGAGGGGTTGGGGAGGAGGACGAAGAAGGGGGTGGCGAGGAGGAGGAGGAGGACGAGAGATCGGGGCGATGGCATCAGCATCTTCGCCATGGCTGGTCGGCTATGACTATGAGTGCGTGTTGGGAAGTGCAATGGATGCAAATGCAGTAGAGAGATCAGCGGAGACTTTGAGGACTTTGAATCGAGTTCTACGGACATCGGCATCACCGCCGGCCGGCCGGCCGGCCTCGTATGGTGATGAATGCAATGAGTAGCTAGCTTCTCCTATTTGCTCCAAGGAAAAAAAAAACCGAAGGCTATCCTCCAAAGTCCAAACAGAAAAACCAAAAAATCCACTACCCAAGTCCCAATTTTTGTTTCTTGCTTGCTGGAATATTGAGCACTTTGGCAAACTCATATATGTGGTACACGTACATCTTGCCATTTTCTGAAACGCGGTTCCTTAGGAACCATGTTAGCAATAAGCTAGGATGCCAGTGTGCGGCCTTATCGACATGATTCAAATTCTAGAGTAGCAGAAGGAATGAATGAAGATTACAAGAGCCTTAGGGGCACGAGCACGAAGACTTCCTGGGTGCCATGGAGGTCAGGCTAGAGTCCGGTAGGTGAGCGATGACAGCAGCTCGTCCTGTTCGTGGTAGTGATTGTTCGATGGTCTAGGGATTTCGATGTGATTTTTATTATGTTGGGGATGCTCTACACTTCTGGTGAACCTTTATAGTAGATCTGAATCCTTTTTGCAAAAAACATCACTTCTACGAGAAGAGAGGATGAGGGGGCGCTTCAAGAAGTTGATAAAATTTTCCACAAACTTGGTAAAAGTTCGTACAGTTTGAGAATGAAAAAATTTGAATTTTTTTTTGGAATGGACGGAGCACTTGTAGCAAGACTTGCATGGGGAGAATAGACCGAATAGTGCGTTATCTATAGAAAAAGTAGTTCTTCTTTTGGGCGACATAAGCCCAAAAAGTAGTTTGTGGAAAAAATATTCTCCATGAATTAAAAATTTAAATGTACTATATATAGTTAATCAACATTTTACCACATAAGTTGTAACATGTGGCAACTGTATGCCCAAATTAGAATCCTGGCCAGTTTATACCTCAAACTTTCATTTTGTGAAATGTTTCCCCTCATGTTACAAATTTGCACCATGCTTTATTCACTCTGAAGTTTAAATTTATGCCAAGATTTACCCTGTAAAATTTTTCCACCTTTCTTATTGGCACAAATGTAAAGCTTGGGGTAAATCCTTTCCGCATAATCCCTGTAAAAAATGCTAAAACTAACGGTACACAGTAGAAATTTTAGTATATATCATCACACAATCATAGTACAACCAGCACACACATACAATCCTCCGTACAAGGCAGGAAAGTAAATAAGAACAATCACAAGATTTACATGGGCATCATGCCGTAATCTTGATTGATCTTGATAGTATATATCATGGCATGACTTGATGGTGGTGGGTTATAACACACCACTTATTTAATCCAACCGGGAATATAAGTACCCGAACATCTCATGCCAACGGTTCCTCTTGGACGTTTGCTTCCCCATTTCCTTTTTCTGCTTGTGTCCTAAGTGGTGGTTTTGGTTGTGCATTTGGGTCAGGTAGTGGGCCTGGCAGTGGTTGTGGATTTGGATCTGGTAATGGTTCTGGGTTTGGATCAGGTTGCGGTCCAGGTAATGGCTTCGGGTTTGGGTCTGGTAATGGTTGTGGGTTTGGATTAGGTTGTGGTCCTGGTAATGGCTGAGGGTTTGGGTTTGGCTGTGGGTTCGGCAATGGTTTCGGGTTTGGGTCTGGTAATGGGTGTGGATTTGGATCAGGCTGCGGTCCTGGTAATGGCTGAGGGTTTGGGTTTGGCTGTGGGTCTGGCGATGGTTTTGGGTCTGGGTCTGGTAATGGTTGTG